TGGATAGGAGCACCATGTGGGACCTGCTCTGGAACAGGACCACACCGTAGACGGGTATGCCCTGCCTCCGACCCTTGTCCTGCGTCGAACGCGGCCGCGTCGTCTACTGACGCATCGTCAACGCATGTGTCTACATGTGTAGCGACACCCAATGTGTCCACTGTCGCCTGTGGCTAGAACATGAGAGCGGAAAGTATTTGGCATAGGCCCCAACTTAACGGGCCCTGGAAACGACAGGGCCGTTTTTTTACCGGTTCCGTTTTGCCGTTTTTTTGCCGGTTCCGACGCCGCTTTTTTACCGGCTCCGTCGCCGTTTTTTGACCGGTTCCGGCTCTGGTTCCAATCCTGGAGCCTTTTTTTGCCGTCTCCGGTCGCCGTTTTTTTGCCGTTTCCATTTTCAAGGGACATGTTTCTGGAAACGGTGAACATGATGGACCCACGAACCCGGAAAGGGATATAGACATGTGGAGCATGGGCACGTTTTCACGATACCCAACGGGGCAACACCTCACGAAACATCCCACGAGACACCTCACGAAACATCCCACGAGACACCTCACGAAACATTCCGCGAGACACCTCACGAAACATTCCACGAGACACCCCGCGAAACATTCCACGAGACACCCCACGAAACATTCCACGACGACAGGCAACCACTCAACCAAGGCGGTGTGGTCGTGCTGGGGAGTGGTCGTGCTGGGGTGTGGTCGTGCTGGGGGGTGGTCGTGCTGGGGGGTGGTCGTGCTGGGGGGGTGTGCTCGTGGTCGTGCTGGGGCGTGTCGTGCTGGGGCGTGGTCGTGCTGGGGTGTGGTCGTGCTGTGGTGAGGTCGTGCTGGGTGTGGTCGTGCTGGGGTGTGGTCTTGCTAGGTGCTGTGGTCGTGCTGGGGTGTGGTCGTGCTGGGGTGTGGTCGTGCTGGGGTGGTCGTGCTGGGCGTGGTCGTGCTTGGGTGGTCGTGCGGGGTGGTCGTGCTGGTGGTGAGGTCGTGCTGGGGTGTGTCGTGCTGGGGTGTGGTCTTGCTGGGGTAGGGTCGTGCTGGGGCGTGGTCGTGCTGGGGCGTGTGGTCGTGCTGGGGTGTGGTCGTGCTGTGGTGAGGTCGTGCTGGGGTGTGGTCGTGCTGGGGTGTGGTCGAAGTCGGGATTTCAAAAACAAGCGTTTCGCTCGAGACATCCTCAAATTTTAATTCGCCGGCCTCAAAAACATGATGGACCCACGAACCCGGAAAGGGATATAGACATGTGGAGCATGGACACGTTTTCATGATACCCAACTGGGCAACACCTCACGAAACATCCCACGAGACACCTCACGAAACATTCCACGAGACACCTCACGAAACATTCCACGAGACACCTCACGAAACATTTCACGAGACACCCCGCGAAACATTCCACGAGACACCCCACGAAACATTCCACGACGACAGGCAACCACTCAACCAAGGCGGTGTGGTCGTGCTGGGGAGTGGTCGTGCTGGGGTGTGGTCGTGCTGGGGGGTGGTCGTGCGTGGTCGTGCTGGGGGGGTGGTCGTGCTGGGGGGTGGTTGTGCTGGGGCGTGGTCGTGCTGGGGCGTGGTCGTGCTGGGGCGTGGTCGTGCTGGGGTGTGGTCGTGCTGTGGTGAGGTCGTGCTGGGGTGTGGTCGTGCTGGGGTGTGGTCTTGCTTGGGTGTGGTCGTGCTGGGGTGTGGTCGTGCTGGGGTGTGGTCGTGCTGGGGTGTGGTCGTGCTGGGGGGTGGTCGTGCTGGGGCGTGGTCGTGCTGGGGCGTGGTCGTGCTGGGGTGTGGTCGTGCTGTGGTGAGGTCGTGCTGGGGTGTGGTCGTGCTGGGGTGTGGGCTGGGGTGGTCGTGCTGGGGCGTGGTCGTGCTGGGGCGTGGTCGTGCTGGGGCGTGGTCGTGCTGGGGTGTGGTCGTGCTGTGGTGAGGTCGTGCTGGGGTGTGGTCGTGCTGGGGTGTGGTGAGGTCGGGATTTCAAAAACAAGCGTTTCGCTCGAGACATCCTCAAATTTTAATTCGCCGGCCTCAAAAACAAGCGTTTCGCTCGAGACATCCTCAAATTTTAATTCGCCGGCTCGTTATTTATCATGGAAAAAATTCGCCGGCAATTCGCCGGCTCGTTATTTACCAGGGAAAAAATTCGCCGGCAATTCGCCGGCTCGTTATTTATCAGGGAAAAAATTCGCCGGCCTCCTTCAAGCAGGCACCGGGGGACAGGTTTACCTACTAAAAGAGAACCCTGGGCCTACGCCCTTTCCGGGAACAAGCGTTTCGCTCGAGACATCCTCAAATTTTAATTCGCCGGCTCGTTATTTATCATGGAAAAAATTCGCCGGCAATTCGCCGGCTCGTTATTTATCAGGGAAAAAATTCGCCGGCAATTCGCCGGCTCGTTATTTATCAGGGAAAAAATTCGCCGGCCTCCTTCAAGCAGGCACCGGGGGACTAGTTTACCTAGTACAAAGAGAACCCTGGGCTCTTGCCCTTTCCGGGAAAAAACGGCCCTGCCGTTTCCGGGGCCCACACAGGGCCCCAGATATGGGACCTCTGCAAGCACGCAGACCTGGCCCTCCGAAGCCCGAGTGCCGCCCCGGCCGGCTCGTCGCCGCCCGTCGCCGCTCGCCGCCGCCGCCGTCGCCGCTGGCCACTGGGCCCGAGTGCCGCCCTGGCCGGTTCGTCTCCCGACCGTCGGCCGCGGGTCGCCGCCGCCGTCGCCGCACTTCGCTGCGCTGCACTGCTCTGAACTGCTTTGCACTGCTTGTCACTGCCCTGCATCGCCTTGCATGGCGTTGCACTGCTTTGCATGACTTTGCAATGTGTTTGCATTCCTTTGCATTCCTTTGCGTGGCTTTGAATGGTTGTGCGTTGACTTGCACTTCAGCGTGCTGGTTGCAGTGCTTTGCGTTGCGTTGTGTTGCTTTGCATTGCATGGATTCGCATTCCTTTGCATTGCGTTGCGTTGGTTTGCGTTGTTTTGCATTGCTTTGGATTGTTTCGCGTTGCGCTGCATCGCGTTGCCTTGCCTTGCATTGCGTCGCATCGCTTTGCATTGCGTTGCATTGCTGCATGCATTCATGTACTCATTCCTGTATGCATTGGTGTACGCAATGATTTATGCATTGCGTCGCATTGCTTTACAATGCTTTGCACCACATAGGTTGCACCACATGGATTGCACAACCTAAAGTCCTCCAACTTGTTTGCAACACATGTATCAAACCGCAAACATTGCAAGAAAACCAATGTTTGGGGTCAACGCTGCCTAAAAAAATCCTGAATCACAGCTTAGGCTCTCTTCATGATCGCCATCGTCGTCGTCGTCGTCGTCATCATCATCATCATCAGCATCATCACCAGCATCATCACCACAACCACAATCATCATCACCATATGTATCATCATCAGTAGCATAATCACCATCATCATCATCGTCATCATCATCACGACCATCATCATCACCATTATCAGCATCAGATGCATCATCATCATCATAATAATAAACATCATCATCAGCATCATCATCAGCATCTTCATCATCCCCAACGTCATCATCATCATCATCATCATCATCATCATCATCATCATCATCATCATCATCATCAGCATCATCATCATCATCATCATCAGTAGTATCACCATCATCATCGTCATCGGCATCGTCATCGTCATCATCACCATCATAGTCATCCTCACCATCGTCCTAGTGGTCATCATCATCATCATCAGTATCATCATCATCGTCATCGTCATCGTCATCGTCATCGTCATGGTCTTCGTTATCGTAATCATCATCCTTAGCAGCAGCATCATCATCATCACCACCACCACCATCATCATCGTCGTCATCAAGAATCAGCATCATCGTCATCGTCATCATCATCAGCGTCATCATCAGCAGCATGATCAACATCATCATCATCATCACCACCACCGCGATCGCCACGGTAACCCTCATCGTCTTCATCGTCATCACAACCAGCACCACTATCATCTGTCGTCCTCCTCCCACTGCTGCTCATTATCCCCTTCTTGCACTCATGCCCCACCCTCAGGGCAGCTACGAGGATGCCCCTCCAAGCCCACCAAGATGGGGTCCCGCCATGACGGCAAGAATTTCGTGGAACTGAAGAAACGGCCAGCGCCATTCCGTGAGAACCACCCACATGGAATGTGGCGAGCGGACACGATCAGCCTCCAGCCTTAAGATGAAGCCAGTATGAGGATAATATCGGGTGAAGATACATCGAGAATATCTGAGATCCGGCGGCTCTGGAAGATGTCTCGGGCGCCGCGGCCTTCTCAGAGAGTTCCAGAACCTCGCCATCGCTCGGACGTCCATTCCCCCTGCATTTTCCTGTTTCGGGCGTGTACTTTCCACACGATGATCCAGGATGCTCCTCGCTGGTCCTCGCCGAGAAAAGATGCACACGTCCGAGCGATGCCACGGACCACTCTGAGCGCGTTCTGGAACGCGCTGGAACGGATTCATCCTCGTCGCAGCCCCGTCCGAGGCTTCCTCTTTTCGTGGGCAAGCCGCGGGCGCGCACGCGGGCGTGAGGCGTCCAGACGGAGCGCCCCGCGGCGGCCCGAGCACACTCCCCGCAGGCCCAGCCTGCGGGCCGGCGAGAGGACGCGGCGGACGACGCGGCAGCACGGGCACCGCAGCGCTCCTCCGGCACCACCCCGAGACGACGCTGCCGCCCGCCCGCCACTCACCCCCTCCTCCTGACCCCCCTCCCCCCCCGCCCCCCCCCCCCCCGCCTCCTCCTGCCCGCCCGCCTCTCGCTCCCTCCTCCTCCGCCCTCTCATCCTCCGTCTGCGCCGGGCCAGCAGAAGCCTGAAGGCTGCTGCGGCCAGCGGTGAAGACAAGGGCGCGTTGCCAAGCCGACTTAGGCGGGACAAAAAGATAGGCAAGAGAGACCCCTGATCCTCCTCCCTCTCCTGCTCTTCCCCCCCCCCTGGCTCCTCCTGCCCCTCCTCTGCCAAAAGAGCGGCGAGCGCGGTCGCCGCCATGCCCCACGGCACGTGGACTCCCCGACTCTGACGTCGTTCTGTCGGGCGGGCCGGCGCAGTGCATCTCGTCGTCGTCGCCGTCCTCGTCGCGGTTCCTGCTCCTCCTCCTCCCCCTCCTCCACCTCCTCCTCCTCCTCCTCCTCCTCCTCCTCCTCCTCCTCCTCCTCCTCCTCCTCCTCCTCCTCCTCCTCCTCCTCCTCCTCCTCCTCCTCCTCCTCCTCCTCCTCCTCTCCTCCTGCTCCTCCTCCTCCTCCTCCTCCTCCTCCTCCTCCTCCTCCTCCTCCTCCTCCTCCTCCTCCTCCACGTCCCTCCACTCTTTTTCCTGATAAACAGCCCCTCCCTGTCCCACCCCCAGACGTGTCGGCAGGGCGGGCCGGGCGTTTCTCCCGAGCCTTCCCCCTGCGGCGTGAGATTTGCAACCGCTTCACGGAGGAGGGACGGCTGGTCTTCGGAGTGTGATTCTCGCCCAACGCCGCGCACACTCGTCTGAAAAGATTGCAACGGGTTCAAGGGTGGAGGGCGGCCCGTCCTGAAAAGGTGACTCTCGCCTTGGCGCCGCGCACATTCCTTCCAGCAGGTCGCAGCAGCTTCCAGAATGGAGGGCGGGCCGCTCTGAAAATGTGGCTTCCGCCTTGGAGCCGCGCGAATTCGCCTTGAAAGTCTGCAACAGCTTCAAGGATGGAGGGTGGGTCGTTTCACAGTGTTGCTGCCCTAGCGCTGCTGCACGTTCATCCTGAAGGTTTGCTAGCCTTAGCGCCACGCACATTCATCACGTTGATTCTAGGTATTGGTATCCAAGGGATGATGCTCTGGAAAGGTTTAAGATTGCCAGGACGCAAATGTCACATTGAACGCGGTGTTGAAGTCCCAGGAACGGCGTTCTGGGACGATTGAAGATTCTCAAAGGGTTGTCTTCCGATGAGGGGTTTCCCGCAATAAATGAAAGTACCTCCTCGTAGGTACCTATGAAAATGGAGCATGGAGGGAGGGATTATTGCGACATCGTTGACGCGTCTCTTGGGTTTGCACTTGTCCTCTCTCCTTCTCCTCATCCTCTTCCTCCTCCTCTTCCTCCTCCTCCTCCTCCTCCTCCTCCTCCTCCGCTGCATTGCCTCTCCTCCTCCTCATTCTTCGCCCCCCTCCCTTCTCCATCCTCCTACCTCGTCAACTCTCTCATCCATCCTCCCCCTCCCCTCCCAATCGTCATCATGATCGTCCTCCTCCTCCTCCTCCTCGTTGTCAGCGTCGGCATCGTCTTCCCCGTCGTCGTCATCTTCCTCCTTGGGAGAGGACGGGACAAAGAAGGCGCAAACGATCGCGCCGAGGAGCATGTCAAAGGACACGTAGGGCCCACCATTGGAGAAGAGGAGGGAAGAGGAAGGCGAAGAGAGGAGGGAGGAGGAACGAGGATCATCCTCACCCTCACCCTCCTCCTTCTCCTTCTCTTCCTCCTCCTCCTTGCCCCCCTCCGCTTCACCCTCCTGATCGCATCGCTCCCTGGCCCCCTTGCCCGCTCTCTGCGTCGTCGAGCAGAGGGCCGGACTCATGGCGTGGCGACGGCGCTTGACACGAGAACATAGCGAAAGGCCTGCTGATGAAGGAAGAAGCTGTCCCAAGACAGGCGGCGTGCATGGAGGAAGGAAGGGAGGAGAAAAAGAGGTGAGGAGGCATAAAAGAGCCCAGGGACAAACAAATAAACAGGATCCCCGATGTGCCCCTGTATATTTGCAGGGCTTTCGTCTTTCCCCCCACTACCCATCTTCTCCCAGACGTCCCTGGGAATGGACGCTCAGTTGTGTCCGTGCGTTTCCTTCTCCCTCGAAAGCCGAGGGGATATGGAAAAACCCGTGCGGTGACAGACCGCGCGGCGCCCTCGGAATCCCCAAAGACCTCCACCGCGCGGCCCAGTAGCACCACAGCGTGCCCCCTCGACCCCGGAGGCCCCCGGCCGCCCGCGGCAGCCTCGGAGGACGGCCCGAGGCCCACGGCCGCGCGGCCACCCCCGAGTCGACAGATCCCCGGCCGAGCCGGGAGGGTGCACCGGGCGCCACGGCCCTTGCAGAGGGCTCTCAGGGGCGTTCCAGGGGGCCCTGGAGCGACTTCGCCCCTGCCCCGGGCCCGCCAAACGCATGGTATGAGGGGAAGAGAGGAGGAGGAGGAGGAGGACAGCGTACAGGGGGGGTTCAGCTCTACCCTAAGAAAGAGGCGCAGGGGCGCCAGAGGTCGTTGCCTCGCTCTTTGCGGTGTTAGAACACCAAGGCTGATTATGCCACGAGGAGGGAGAAGCAGGGGAGGAGCACGCAGGAGCAGGGGCAAGGCACAAAGGAGCGACGGAAGGGGTGGGAGACGGGGGAAACGCCAGCAACATAGCAAACTCCAGGGGAGAGGAGCGAGAGGAGACGGCAGAGGGCAGCAGCAGGGAGGGCTCAAGGGACAAAGGAGACGGAACGGGCGGATGGGCATGCGTAGAGCCGAGCGTGGGCGGGCATAGCGGGGTGTGCGGGGCAAAAGAGGACAAGGGGGCAGTCGAAAAGAGGCAGCGACGAGAAGGCTCAGGGTAAGGCGGGGTCCTTGGCGCGGACCACGGGGGGGGGGGGAGATAGCCTCTGGGTCGACGGGCTGGCCATCAGGGTGCTCGGAGACCGCGAGGGAGTCCATGACAACGCTATCGGGGAACATGACGCCACGGACGAGCAGGGCGCCATGGGAGCAACGGCACGTCCAGGAGTGGTAGCCAGAATGCATCCCTGCCGAGAGCGAAAGAGAGGAGGAGGAGGAGGAGGAGGAGGAGGAGGAGGAGGAGGAGGAGGAGGAGGAGGAGGAGGAGGAGGAGGAGGAGGAGGAGGAGGAGGAGGAGAGGGGGGCGGGCCGAAGGGGGGAAGGAGCCCGAGCACGAGATCAGGAAGGGGGCATCGCAAGCGCGAAGGAGGGCGGGAGCAGGCAGGGACGAGAGACAGCGAATTGATGGCGCGCACAAGGGGGTATGGGGAAGGGGGGAAGGCTTCTCACAAGGAGGCTGCATCATAGAAGGCGCCCGCCTTACGTCTATAGAGATAAGGCCAACTCCTTCCAAGAAGTAGTCTTCTTCTAAGAACCCTTTCTCCCTCCCCCTACCCCCCTCTGCGCGTGGCCGCACAAAGGGGAGGGAGAGGAAAAGGAAGGAAGGGGGGGGAAGGAGAGGAGTGGAAGGAGGATGAGGAGGAGGAAGAGGAAGAGGAAGAGGGGGGAGAAGAAGTGAGCACGAGCACGAGCCGAGGTGCCGTGGCCTGCTCTGGAGAGCAGCAGCTGGTCCCACAGGTGCTCCAGCAGGCGGTGGTGCACGCTGCCGACGAAGAGCGCCAGGACCCACTGGTCAAGGACCGATCCGAGGCTGCGGCCGCGACGGGGGGAGGAAGGGGGGGCTGCCTCTCTCACTCCCTCCCCCTCTCCCTCCCTCCTCCTCCCCACTCCTCCTCATCCTCCTCCCTCCTCCCCCCTCCTCCTCCTCCTCCTCCTCCTCCTCCTCCTCCTCCTCCTCCTCACAATCATCACCATCATCATCATCATCATCATCATCATCATCATCATCATCATCATCATCATCATCATCATCATCATCATCATCATCAGCAGCAGCATCATCAGCAGCAGCAGCATCGGCATTGGCATCATACTCATCAGCATCATCATCATCAGCAGCAGCATCATCATCATCATTATCATAATCATCGTCAGCTTCGTCATCGTCATCGTCATCGTCATCGTCATCATCAGCATCAGCATCAGCATCAGCATCAGCATCAGCATCAGCATCATCATCATCATCATCATCATCATCATCATCATCATCATCATCATCATCATCATCGTCATCATCATCACAAAATCATCATCAGCAGCATCATAATTAGCATCAGCGTCAGCATCAGCATCATCATCATCAGCATCATCCTCATCAAAATCAGTATCATCATCGTCATCGACATCAGCAGCGTCATCATCGTCATCATCAGCAGCAGCATCAGCATCATCGCCAGCAGCAGCGTCATCATGGTAATCGACATCATCATCATCATCATCATCATCATCAGCATCATCATCATCATCATCATCATCATCATCAGATCATCATCATCACCATCATCAGGAACAGCATCATCATCATGATCATCATCGTCAGCGTCATCATAATCATCATCATTGTCATCAGCAGAACCTTCATTTTATCATCATCAGCATCAGCATCATCATCAGCAGCATCAGCATCCTCACCATCAGCATCAACATCAGCACCATCGCCAGCATGATCATCATCATCAGCAGCAGCAGCAACTTCCTCGTCATCATCATCATCAGAATCAGCATCATTGTCATCAGCTCATCATCATCATGACCATCATAATCATCTTCAGCATCAGCATCCGCATGATCATCATCATCAGCAGCAGCAGCATCAGCAGCAGCATCATTATCGTCATCGTCCGCATCATCATCATCATCATCATCATCATCATCATCATCATCATCAGCAGCATCATCAGTATCATCAGCAACAGCATCATCATTATCATCAGCATCAGCATTATCATGATCATCGTCAGCATCAGCGGCAGCATCGTCGTCGTCAGCATCATCCTCATCATCAGCATCAACAGCCTCATCAGCAGCAGCATCAGCATCAGCATCAGCATCAGCAGCAAAATTGGCATCAGCATCATCAGCGTCAGCAGCAGCATCATCATCAGAATCAGCATCGTCGACATCATCAGCATCATCAGCACCATCAGTACCATCCATCATCATCATCATCATCATCATCATCATCATCCTCATCATCATCATCATCATCATCAGCATCATCATCAGCATCACCATCATCATTGTCATCATCATCAGCAGCATCAGTATCATCATCACCACAACCACCATCATCACCAGCAGCAGCAGTATCATCATCATCATCATCAGCATCATCATCATCATCAGCAGCATCAGCATGCATCATGAGCGTCAGCATCGTCAGCAGCGTGACCATCCTCGTCAGCATCAGCGTCAGCAGCATCAGTAGCAGCAACGTCAGCATCATCGTCAGCATCAGCATCATCATCAGCAGCATCGGAAACATAATCATCATCAGCATCGTCGTCGTCACCATCACCATCGTCATCATCATCATCATCATCAGCATCATCATCATCATCAGCAGCATCATCAGCAGCACCATCAGCATCATCACAGTCAGCATCATCATCATCATCATCATCAGCAGCAGCAGCAGCATCAGCATCAACATTAGCCTCGTCAGCATCAGCGGCATCATCATCAGCAGCATCAGCATCAGCAGCATCAGCAGCAGCATCATCATCAGCATCATCAGAATCATCAGAATCAGCATCAGTATCATCATCAGTGGCATCAGCATCAGCATCCGCATCAACATCATCAGCAGCATCATGAGCAGCATCATCACCATCGTCATCACCATCATCACCAGCATCACAAGCATCATCAGCATCAGCATCAGCAGCATCATCGGCGTCAGCATCGTCATCATCATCAGCAGCAGCATCCTCATCATTATCTGCATCATCATAATCCTCATCTTCACCATCCTCCTGATCCTCAACCTCGTCCCTCACGTCATGATCAACACCATCATCATCATAATCAGCAGCAGCAGCCGCATTGCCAGCGTCGTCATCATACGCATCAGCATCCCCGTCCTTCTCATCTTCCACCGCTCCTCCCTCCTTGCGCCTCTGTTAGGGGGCTACACGCGAACCCTACCCCTACCCCCCTCGGAAATCGTGGGGGGTAGGGTAGGGATAGGGTTCACATCTGGCCCCCTATCTGTCGGCCTCTTCGTCCTCGGATTGCTCTGGGCAGACCGCCGCGGACCACGACGCCCTCCTCCGTGATCTCTCCCCTCTCCACCTTCGCCCCTCGCCGCTCGCCCCTTCCGACAGGGGCCCAAGGACACACACACACACACACACATATATATATATAGATAGACACAAACACACACACACACACACACACACACATATATATATATATATGTATACCGACACTAACCATCGGATTCCCCGTATGCTTCCATACTTCCTGGATGTTCGCCTTCCCCTCTCTGCCTCTCATGGTTTCGCATAGGTTCATGGGAATCGACGTCTGTTTGTGCCCGTGTCGATTTGTCCCTCCTGAATTGTGTCGCAACTGCCTGACGTCTCCGAGTGGCTGCGCTCCTGCACGCGCCATTACAGACTGCGACCGTGCTGCTGCTTGCAGCAAAAACCTTCTCGCTGGATTCTCACCTCCCTCCCAGAGCGTGTGCCCGAAGAAGGCCGAAACCGCACGCGCCCCAGCCCCCACCCGGCGGCTCCTGCTGGCGAACGCCTCGGAGCCCAGCGCAGCGAATATGGTGGGGCAGCGGGCCTGGGCCAGCTCGACCACGAGGGTCCTGGCGATGCAGCGGAGCCAGCACTGCCCTCGCTGCCGACACTGCCGTCTGCAGCCGCGGCCGTAACAGTAGCAGTTGCAACTGCCGCCGTCGTCGTCACACGCAGTGTTTCCTTCTCCTCCGCATCGTCCTCCTCCTACATTCTGGACGTCCCTTCCCACCACATGACGGGGCTAAGTGAGGCGAACGTCGGATGGATGAACGACGGATAAGACAACTTGGCGGAAAGACGTTGACACCGATGCCTACGCTGATCCTCAACAGTAGATGGACACAATTTTCGTTACGGACCAGTTGTACTTTTACGTGGCCCCGCGTACTCCACGTAGGCCCCGCTCCGCGGGGCTCTGTGGCGCTCTTGGCGCTGTTGGCGCTATTCACTCACGGAGTACGTACGCCAAGGCTGTCGCTCACTCGCTCGCTCGAGCGAGCAAGGCTGCGAGCGAGCATGGGGGGGGGCTTCTGGCGACGACGACAACAACGACGACGACTACGACGACGGTGACGACGGCGGAGCGGGCCAGGGCCGCGCCTCACGCCGAGGCCCCCGATATACGCCATCTGGAGATTGCCGCGCACGTCCGCGCCAAAGAAGTCGGGATCCAGCACGTCCTGCCACATGGAGCACAATAGAGGAAGGGGTAAGAAATGAGGGGAGGAACAGGAGGAAGGAAGTGACTGGGTGAGTGAGCGTGAGGTATAAAGGGAACCCCAAAAAATAGCAACAACCACAGGTGAGGTGAGGTAACGCGAGATGAGGCGAGAGGAGGTGAGAACGTCGGCGGCGCGCCCGGGGAGGGGGAAGCGAGAGGGGGCGGGCCTTCTCAGGAGCTCGGAAGGCCCCCGTGCTTTCAGAGAAGTCGTCTCGGCCTTCCCCGAAGGCACAGAACACCTCTCCAAGGGCGCGAGGGCCTCCGAGAAGCCCCGCCGCCTTCTGCGAAGGCCTTCTCCGCCTCGCCCCCCCCCCGCCCCCCTCGCTCGCCGCCGAGTTCGAGACGAGAGGCCTCGTGGGCGCGACGAGCCCGCCCCGCGCCCGCACGGCGCGCGCCAGCCTGCACGGCGCAGCGCGCGCGGTCCGCAGGGCAGGCGGGCACGCCCCTTCGGCAGCGGAGGAGCCGCCACCGCGCCTCCCCCCCCCCTCCCCCCGGGGCGCCGGGGCGCGCGGCGGAGTGCCGGCTGCTGCACGGTGGGGTCCGCGCAAGTCTCCCAAGGGCCCCCACCTCCCCCTCCTTGCCTCCCACAGAGGGGCCGCATGCCTCGCATGCCTCGCCTCTCCTTCTCGAGGCTCCCTCGGCGCCCCGTCAAGTCCTCGGGGCTCGACCAAGGCTCTCCAGGACAGCCCAGGAATGCCACCAAGGCAGCCATGATGGTCCATACTGTCTCAAGGAGATCTCAAGAGACACCCAGCAGACCCATAGATGCGTCAGAGGCCCCAAGAGGCCTCCAAGACATCAAGGCACATGCCAGGATGCAAAGTTACAAGATGCTTCGGACTTCACTGTTTTGAAAGTCATGGGCCACTCGGCTCCAGATGGTCACGAGGTTTACAAGAGCAGCATGAGCGCCTCAAGAAGCCCAAGAGGGTCCACGGAAGCCGAAGACAGCCCCAAGACGGCTCGGGGAGCTCCCATGCGAGCGCCTCAAGGAGTACAGCAGCGAGGCGCCACGTGTTGCAACCTTCCGGGCGGTGTTCGAAGCGTCGCCACACTCCGTGGCGCGCTGGCACGGTGGTGGAACGTGCCACAGTTGGCGGCGCGCAGAGGGGGGTAGGGGGAGGGGGGAAGGCTTCTTAGAAGCACCCCTGCTTCTTAGAAGGCGCGGGCCTTCTCTACAGACGTAAGGCCGAGGCCTTCTAAGAAGCAGGGTGCTTCTAAGAAGCCTTCCCCCCTCCCCCTACACCCCTCTGCGCGCCGCCAACACAGGCAGCTGGATACCAGAGCTGAAGTGGCAGGTACACGCATGGGAGAGAGCGGGGGGGAGAGCAGCCGAGCTGCCCAACGCGAGCGCACGCGGAACCCAACAAGGCGGCGGTGCTGATGAGCGGCGTGAGCGCAGATCGTTCGCAGAACGAGGGCGGGAGGAACACCGCTGGCAGTGCTGCCAGAAGTGGAAGCCTGCTCGACCATCCCCTCACCCACGCGTGCCGGTGCCCCCAATCAGCCGTGTCAGGATCGGGCACCACGGCAACGAGAATGCAGCACGAAGAGCAGGCCAGAAGGGGCCAGATGGACCAAAACACAAACGACCCCACCCCACCTGCGGCCCCACATGCCTTAGCATATACCATGAACTCCGGCTTGGGCTCTTGCGCGGTATACGCCACGGCGCCCGATGGGCCGTAGCGCAACATGGAGGGCCGCAGGTGGGGTGGCGTTGCTTGCGTCTCGGTCGACCAGAGAGACGCCAGCGAAGCAGGGCGGGGACCACGGCACTGGCCGGGACGGCCAGCATAACCCTTCCGGACGAACCCACACGGACCCGGGCAGCGGCAGGGAGCTGCGCCAGCCCGGGCACGGAGGATGGCCGCGGGGGCGCCGCGCGCGGCTAGCGTGGAGCACCGCGGCGCTCACGGCAGCGGCCACGGCGCTGGCGGGGTGGTGCCGCCCTCGATCCTGGATGTCCTCGCTTCTCGATGTCCCCGACCCTCGATCTCCTCCATCTCGACCCCACGTCCTCGATCCTCAAGCCTTCCTCGCCCACGCGCCTCGACCCCCCTGGGCGGTGACCCCCCCTGCCGTTCGGAGCGATCGGGGCATCCTCGCAGCTGAAGCAGAATGGTCAGGAGGTGCCAAGCCTCACGAGCGGCGCACATATCCGCATCCGCGCTCTCGCGGTCTGCATTCCGGAGCGCGATCCCGCGGATACACGGACGCACGGACTCCCAGATATGGGTCGGAGTGGATGGGGTCAGAGTGTCGACGTTGCGGCTCGATGTGAGGCCCGACTGTCTCCGCGGATGCGTCGCCGACGGCGCCGATGTATCGCCAATGCATCGACGATGCATTGACGATGCAGCGTGATACTCCGACCCCATCTACTCCGACCCCATTGGGGAGACCTCTATGCTCTTTGTCGATGGAGCCGGGGCCCGCGCGGGAGAGCGCGTGAGTCTTACCTCTGGCAGCCTGGGCGCGCATTCGTGCACCCGTGGCTTCGCTCACGTGCCCCACGCATTTGCCGCTGTCCCCATGGGTTACTTTGCATCTTCGGGGAGCTTCTCCTGCTTGGCTAATTGTGGTTATGTCTTGTACTTCCGACGTGGGTTCGACGCGGACTGTACGTCAATTCGATGTGGATCGACACGGATCCGACACGGGTTCGACACGGATTCGATGCGTTCGACATGCATTCGACATGGGTGCGACGCGCATGGCTGGCGCGATGGGACAGACGAGATCCCTCAAAGATGCAACACAACATGGACGCATGGCAACCGCAGGGGCGCCTCGGCAGCGCCGTGTGCGGCGATGCCGATCCTGTGCTCGAGCTCCGTGCTGGTCCCGTGCTCGAGAAGGCCGCACCGTCGCAGCGCTCGGGCCGGGCGAAAGGGGGGAA